TCATGCATAAAATCCTGGAATACGGAGGGGGCGTTAGCAAGTCCATAGGGCATGACCAGATACTCGTAGTGGCCAGTAGGGGTCACAAAGGCAGTCTTCCATTCATCCCCCTCACGTATCCGAATGAAGTAGGCACTGCGGAGGTCCAACTTGGTGAAAACGGTCACCCCTCTGAGATTTTCCAGGGCGTTAGGGACGAGGGGAAGAGGATATTGGAATTTGATGGTGATATTGGTTCTGGAGGGTAACCGGGCTCTGGTCGGCGGAGGGAGGAGGTTGTGGCAGGGACTGGGGTTGCTGCTAAACAGGACTGCATGCGGGTTGAACAATGGACGAACAATTGAATGAATTTCCAATCCAAATGAATCATCATATGCAGCGAGCTGTAACCGAAGCTGGGGTTCCAGCCCCTCTCTGTAAGTAGTCAGCAGCGATCTCTCATTCCATCCACTTGCTGCTGCGAGAGTTCTGAACTTCAGCGAGTATTCGGCAATTGACATGGTACCCTGCTGCAAATGGTAGAGTTGCTCTCCCATGGTGGTATCTCCGTCTGTCCTTCCAAACACCTCGCAAAAATGCACCATGAAGTTCAGCAGATTGTGAATAAGAGGGCTGGCCTGAGTCCAGATTGTTTCCGCCCATCACAATGCAGGTCCTGTTAGCAGGGAGATAATAAAGGCAATTTTAGAAGTGTCAGTGGGGTATGATTGCGGTTGCATTTCAAAAGTGAGGTTACATTGGAGGAGAAATCCGTTGCAATCCTCCGCCGAACCAGAGTAGGGCGCCGGTCGGGCCATGGGACTGGCGTTGATGTTAGGCGAAGAAGTGCTGGTTGTGATGGATGAGGTGATGGGTGGTGATGGCGGCGATGCCGGTGAATGGCGTAGCACTTGTCGTAGTGAGTCTACGAGCTCCTGGAATGGATCGGGGTTACTCATCTGTGCCGTCGGTGTAGGTCCAGTCTTCTGTAATGGAAGAGGTCTGACGCAACAGGTTAGTATAAATCAAATAGGTTTATTGGTTCACAGAGAGTACTGGGGTAGGGTTCAGAGGATGTGATAGTTCGAAGGATATGATGAGCGGGGTAATCTGGGTCTTTGGCTGTACAGGAGCTGGAATGCAGACAGGAGGAGCACACACCTCAGCGATCCGGGAACTAGGAGGAACAGGAGACACTTGGAGGAACACAGGAGGTGGAAGCAGTGGCAAAGTCATTGAGTCCTCTACATGTATACGAGACTGGACAGTGAGGGTGTCTGAGGTGTGTGCTTTTATGCAGGCTGGTAATGAGGTGTTTGATTGGTGACAGGTGCAGGTGCTCAGAACTCAGGTGAGAGGGATCGTTGTGATTGGGTGGTGGTGGAGCCTGGCCGATCTGTTACAGCATTCAAGTGTATATTCTTTTTCTTTATGATGGAAGTCAACCAACAATTCCAAGAAACGTACTTGAAAGCCTAGAAATACCAGTCAAGATGTGTGGAGAAGTGAAATATTTCCTAATAGCTGAGGAAATCTTTGTTCTTTATTCCTTGTAAGTTTACCATAACATATTACCTTTTTTAATAGCTTAAGAGCTAAACTATGTTTAGCCCGGTTCCCTGAAAGGGGAACAAAATATTGCATCAGCTTTCGATGCTATAGGTCTGAAGCACATATCTATTGTAAATATACTAATCCAATTGGCAAGATGTTTGAATGTCATGACATGGCGTAACATAACATTTAATCCATAAACAGATGCCTGAAATGCGCACCAAACACATTAATCCGTCTGAAAAAGATGCACAGGCGTAGCCATGGAATGGCAAAGTGATACAGCATCTCGTCCCCTCTCAGGAAACCATTCCAACTTCTCCATGACCAAGGCTGTGTGTAGGCACAGACACTTACTGAACACAGACTGTACTTCAGATTACCCCCGAAGGACTCTAGATCCTGGGGTCCAATCCACATCAAGACTGTGGAACCTGATGAATATATGCAAAGAGGACCATCCTGTCACAACACAAACATCTTGTAAGGGTGCAGCCCTAGCAAGGGCTTTGGAAGGTGCGAGACTCCAGATGGAGTGGGCCCTGTCCCCTAGAAGCAAACCATGTGCCTCAAAGGACCAACTAGGCCAGGGGTAGGCAAGCTTGGTCCTAGAGAGCTGCAGTCCTGCAGAGTTCAGGTCCAACTGTGGAAAAAAAACCTCACTTGTCTATAGCCTTAGTAATCCTAAAGACATTAATTAGGTTGTTCAGGTGTGTCTGACTAGGGTTGGAGCTGAACTCTGCAGGTATGCAGCTTTCAAAAACAGAACTTGCCTACACCTGAATTAGGCAGTGAGCTGGGTTCACTTCATGATCTCTGCACCATGATATGAACAGACAACTTCCTAGCAGAAGGAGCTCAATAGAGGATTGTCTCAGTGGCTTCAGCCAAAAGGCCTAAAATCCAAAAGTCTAAAAGCTTACACTATTCAGAGGTCAGACCCAAAGTTCAGTTCAGTCCTGATCAACCCTTGCTAAAACTGCTGAGAGAAGAGTTATCAGTCCCAATGGAGCTGTGTGAGGGTGACCAGTGTTGCATGATGCTATTTGTATTGTTAGAAAATACATTTAAATTTTACTTGAACTTTAATTAAAAAACTTAAATATGTTTCTGTACCTTATGTAGCTGAGCCCCAGTAAAATTGACCAATAATTTTGACCCCAATCCAGGGATACATACAATTAAAAATTACTCAATTACCCTTGTATTTTTTTCCAACTGCATCTTAGGTAAGTACTTTCATAATCGACTTACTAGACTTTTTGCTCACTCCACGTCAAGTAGAGCTGAAAATAGTGGCTTTCATTAAGATACTAACTAAATATTTGAATAATGCATTCACAAATCTTATTTTTATATTGACACATTTGTAGTTATTTCAAACCTTGAAAAATGTCTGTATATCTGGTTTTGTTTTTAGTGAAAGTGTTGATATAAATAGGAGCTTGTGCATAGACCTCAAAACTGCACACACAGACCTTGAATCTTGTGTCACATGCAGGCAGGGGAATTTCTGCAGTTGTTTGAGACAATTGGAGTTTGAACGCACCACCCCCTCTTTTGTCATACACGTCAATGTGGTTAGTTCATTTCAAGTCATTCAACTTTACATTCCATATTTTGTCTTTAAACCTACCCTCATGTACAAATACACAGATTTTACAGGGCAAAATACTGTTTTCCTTCAGGGTTATAATCTGATTTGTGATCAGGTAATGCATGTTACATGACAAAACTGGTATCATTTGAAGCAGAATGTCCTGTTTTGTTATATAAGCTCAAAATATTGTGGACAGTGTGTGAGTTGAGTATTACTGAGAAAATGACTAACATGTACACACATACTGACTAAGAATTATTATTTTCAACATGTTTAATGTGTTTCTTGAAAAAATGCAATTATTTTTGTTTTATAAACGTAATTATTATTATTTATTTTGTATTTAAAATATTTTATCTTTTTAAACAAATGCTTAAAATAAAATAGGGGGGAGCTGGGGGGGGGGGGGGATTAATAATGAATTGTGGTTAATATTGCATTTTT